GATATTTAGAAACTCAAAATTATACAATTTTTTTCATTAATCATCTGACAATTCCATGTTAGTCTGTTTATTAGATGTATGACACACAGTGAAACAGAATTATTTACTGGATGACGTTTCGAAAAAACTTGCATGTAGTGAGTACTCTAGCTGAACTATTCTCTAGATTTCTTATCTTATTGAGGTCAAACAATCTAGATTTTGCTAGGTTTTTATGCTCCGCTAGTCTGATTGCCCCTGTTCTACTAGTTTGACCTATGTATTTGACCTGACAATCATTGCAGGCAAGGTATTAGATAAACTAAATTGTTTTGTTTTAAAGGCTCTAAAGGATGCTTTAACCGACAAAGCTTGTTTCTAGTTGAGTTTGTGGTTGGTTTGAATGGCAGTCACTTTTACTCCTGCTTTGTTAAGAATTCTGCGTAAGGTCTCCGAGGTTCCTTTTTGTATGGAATTACTACTAATAATTTAGATTCCTTATTGTTGGTGTTGTTGACAACAGAAGCCTTTGTCGATCAAAGGATCAATCCTGTGGAACAGTATATTAAACAAAACAATTTAGTTTATCTAATACCCTACTGGAATGATTGTCAGGTCAAATACATCTGTCAAAGTAGTAGAACAGGGTAAATCAGTCAGACTAGCCGAGCATAAAAACCTAGCAGCGAAATCTAGATTGGTTGACCCGAATAAGATAAGAAATCTAGAGAATAGTTCACCTACACTACTCACTACATGCAATTACACACAATCATACAATAGGATGGGATAGGATGACAGTTTTAAAATCTAATGTCACAGGGTATAAAGAGAGATTGATAACGGAAGCTTTGTTTATCGAATCAACTGCAAATACATGTAAATAGGAATGATTCAACACCTGTCCAGTCGGACATCTGGAAAATTCTACTACTCCTACGACGACAAGTAGGAGAGAACAAAGAAAACTATAAAACTCAAGTTTCGAAGTCGTGTGATTATAATTGATGATATGATTATGCACAATAATAAATTTTGTTCGAAACTGTGTCATCCAGTATGTAATAATACTGTTTCATGACTGTGTGATACATCTAATAAACAAACTAATATGGAATTACTTACTACCACAGTACCCAAGTTTTACACATATATATTAATAAATCATCTGACAAAACTGTAAGAAAAATCAATAATTTTATGTTTTTTGATGACTACAAATTTGATTTTACATATTTCTCAATTACATGTAAGAAAGAAGTAAAAGTAATTTAAGTAATTAATTGAATTGCCGTCATTTACAAAACCAAAAAAAACAGATTAATTTGGATACTTAAGTAAGTAAATTAAAAGTTTAATTTGAATATTTTTTTGACACATTAAAATGCTAATTTATTAATTTATTTATTTAAAGTCACATGCTCACACTACTAGAGAAAACGTAATAATCGCTTATTTAATTAGTAACTGCATACTGATGAATCATCCTGACAGAAAGTTTTGATGATTAAATTTTAATTCAGCGAAAACGCCCGTAAGTAATTTAAAATAGAGACTCATTAATGAACAAAGAATAAATATTTTTTTCGAGAAATTGATAAATATGGTCTACATCTGTATGTATAACAGTAATAATTATCAAAATATTCTTATTAATAACAACATTAATGCTGTTTTAAATGACATTGAATCAATCAATCAATGAATAATATCGACCGTATTACATTTCAAAAAAAAATCAATAAGGAAATGATAATATGCGTCATATATAACACTAAACTAAATATAGTGGCAACGTTATCTCTTATTAAACAGACTGGCTGGTTTCAACATAAAACTTTTCTCTACTCCAACCTGATCCTATGTCAGCAAACATTCTCCGTCGAGGAAGGCGATGGCTAGGACATGTCTTACGCCTAACATATGAGATAGAACGCAGACACCTGTGACCAAAGACCACCAACTAGTCAGGCTTTTCATGTCTTAAACACTCAATAGCCATGCCTCACTCACAGCCGTAAAGAAGGATGGAGAAAACTGCTGGACAGCACGCACATCCTTTGTTCGGTAGTCGGTCGGATATCACGTCTATGCCAGATGATGGGCTATGAGACTCAGTCAGCAATCAGCCTTTTCGGGCTGATACAACTTCCTAAAAAATAATTGAAATGCTCAGCACGCTCCACCACCAGTTCACTCCTTATCTTGAAACTAAGAATCGATGTAGTCCAGTCATGTTGCATCATTTTACATGTGGCAGGAGCAAATCACATGGCAAACATTCGAAGATTTCTGCTGAAGACTGCTGTTCAGAAGACTCTGCATTTTATCAGTGTCTTCAGTTAGGAGGGAGGATTATATCATCTGTACATTCTCAGTTAACAAAGATTATCCCCAAGTTCGTTGAAGTCAGTTAGGATCAATTCCCTTAGTACATCTATGCTGAAATTAAACGGAAATGGTGATAGAAGGCATGCCTGACGGACACCACAGACTGTCATCACTTCAGATGACAACTCTCCGTGAGGAGCTCTTACACGACCTTGTGAGTTTGAGTAGAATGCCTTGATTAGTGCGATGTAACTTCTCGGAACTTTCTTCAGGGTCAAACATTACCACAGTACCTCCCGGACGACAGAGTCGAATCCGGCCTTCAGGTCAAGAAATATAGCAATTGTTGAACGCCTGTAAGTATGCCCATTTCCTAAAATCTGTCAAAGGGTGAAAATATAATCAATGCACCACCCTCTTCCTGGTCTAGCGTCTGTCGGGTTTTCTCGTGTTCGTTTCTTCCAAGCACCGCTTGATCTATGCACGATTATTGAGCCTAAATCTTTAGTCAAGCTAATACCTCTATGATTATCACAGAAAGATTTGTCGCCCTTCTTGTATCCTGGAATAATCAATGACTTACACCAGTCCAGTGGGACTATCTTTGATTCCCAGACACTGTCCAACACCTTATTTAGCCCAGACAGCTGTCTCTGTCACCGCCGTCTCTAAACACATCTGGAGTCATTCTATCAGGTCCTGCTGCATTGCCTCGTTTCAAATTAGAGACAGCTATTGCAACCACCTTAATAAATAGAGTTCCAGTACAGTGTGTTACAACATCAAATAAAATTATGCTATTAAGGAATTACATTCCTCTAAAATGACCAGCTATTTTGATTGTCGCAGCAGGAAACAAATTCACATGATATTACCAGTATGGTATAAGCACCTGGAATTAACTTTACATTTGTCAGCACTTATTTCAATGCATTTGTAAGACCAGGTAATAGGACCTGTCATTCATATTTGAATTATTCAATCTCAAGGACACTAGGCTGTTCAGACTACAATCGATATCATTCAAGTGTCCCATCTAAAAAATAATTGGTGAATTAAAACTATTGTGACCAAAATCACAATGACCTTGAACAACCAATCAGAAATCAGATGCGTAAAAGTCACCTGATCGTTGAAAAAAATGTATTAAAAACGTTGCAAATACTACATTAAACTGGATAATTGTCTCTAGTATATTGTAGAAATGTCTCCAACTTTTTCCAATGATAATCCGCAGAGAAATTGTGCGATACTCAACACACATGTATTCATTGAGGTGGTTGTAAATCATGGTGCCCTGGGATCCATTGATATTCCTGATTCTTTTTCCTCAACCACCCCAAAATCCTTCGACAGAATTAGTGTGGCTGCTTGTGATTGGATTCACAAGATCGAAGGAATGGTTGACACGATGGTAAATATAACCGAAAAATGACAATTGGTTATATCTACTCCATTTGTCAGTATGTATAATAGTCGTTCCTGGAATTAACAAGCTCTGCATAATTAGAATTAATACTCCGATATCTCTATTGGGTATTGTCCCCGCAAAACCTTTGCGTAGTGTCTCACTCCCCTATTATATTATTATTATTGTTTCCTTTAACTCCTAGAGGAACATTAGGGCTTCAGCCGTGCATCTCCATTGCGTTCGGTTCCCTGCTAGAGTTTTCACCGGGCTCCAAGTCTGTCCACACGTTTTCATCTCCTCTTTACATGACCTCCTCCAAGTCACCCTCACACTGACGACCAACTCGCCGCTTCCCTTTCGGATTTCACTCGAGCAATGGCTTGTCTAGTGATGTCACTCACTTGATGGTTTCCTCAGATTATGGCCAATCCATCTCCATTTCCTCCTGCCTATTTGTTTCACAATCGGTTCCTGGTTGGTTCGCTCCCAGAGTCCCGGCCGATAACTGCTACCTTGCCGTGGTGGTCGGGCTTGAATGCCGCAGTGACCCAACAAGCTAAACTGGCTGGGACTCATGTCCCTGCGGGTCGTACAATGCCAGGAAGGTTGTTTGGATAGCGGTTAGACTAAAAGCAGTTACCATGGGGTACATGGGCTCCAGAATCCAATCGGATCAAATGGCGTACGAAGCCATATGGGTCACCGGCAACCATGGGAACGCAGCTCCTGACGCTGCTCCGCTGCCTTGCGGGTTAGACTCCAAGTCAAAGGCTCGGGGGGGGGGGGTGGTCCCTTAAGAAAACCGCCTGCTTCGGTGTGGGCGCCCGGGCAGTATCTCAGCCCTCACACAATAAATGAAATAAAGCAACAAAATATCAGTGGAACTTATCGCGCGCTCGTAACAATGCGTTCAAGCAATAATGATGTCTCAAGTAACACATCTCTTTCCAACCTTACTTTTATTTTTATATTTAGTTTCCTGTATTTTACCTTTGCTCTTTCATGATATTATGTCTCTAGGATTCTTTATTTCCGGTCTCAGTTAGCGTTGCTCTTGTAGGCCTTTGTAAAACCCATGACCTTCATAATCTGAAGCTCAAGAGTTCCAATCCCTGTGGGTGCATCCCAAGCACTCAGACGAAACATCTGTCCTGTACTCCCTGTAGTTGGTTTTCAATGTACTTCTCTAACTGATATCAATCCAAATCAAATCCCTACAAACCAACATAACTAACTAAAATAATGATGAAATATTTATTTTATTTATTGATTATTTTTTCATCAGAGTGGGTGGAAAACATCAATGGAACAACAGAAAAAAAAGAGAATAAAAGAAATATACATAGACATATACATATATAATTATGCCAATACTTCGTCATTCAAAACATTAAGTGATGAATATGCTTCAGATTATACAACATTTACCGTTTTTAATTTAATTTTTAAAGAGGTAGTTAATCTAAAGAAAAATGATATTCGCTTAAATCATAAGTGTGTGTGTGTGTGTGTGTACATACAGAGGATCTACCGAGGTGACAGAGAAAAGAGGCGACAACACTTATTAAGCAGAAGCAGAAGGACTTGTGTGTGTATGCAATGAGAATGAGAGAATAGAAGACAACAACAATAGATTACATGAGATGATAGCCAACTGTGAAAGGCGACAGGAGACAGGATGTCAACGTGTGCAGGTGAGTGAGTGTGTGTGTGTGTGTGTGTGTGGGAGTATATGCGTATGGGAGATGATGGAAATAACACAAAATACGAAAATAAATCATCATTGGTCATCATCACAATGAATACACAGCCGTTGTCAAAATAATATATATATGATGTTATATATATAATTAATCTGTATCGTCGTTTTTATTTACAATTGTACAAACTAATTAAAACTGATTACTGACTGATGACAGGTAAGCAGAGATATGGAAAAGAACAGTAATGGAGAAAACGGCAGAGGAGGGAGAGGGAGAGATAAATCAAAGGAAGTCACGAAAGACAATACACAAACAATCAAGTAACATTTTCTGCTGAATAAATAATAATAATGAATTCACATATAAGAAGTGTAAACAAATAAACGAACGAATGAATTGTGAAAGACACTATATTTGTAAAAAAAAAAGGAAATCATTTGCATAATTGTAAGCATTGAAAAATCAACAAACAACAACACAGCATATTTCATCAATAGACATCTTCTTCATCTATCTGTCATGGTTACTGTTGCTATTATGATAATCAAAGCGTTCCAGGGTAGGAGGATTTGGACTAGGCTGTGAATGAATTGAATTTAAAAGAGCATCATCAGAGTAGACAGCTTTTGAATGATGACTAACTACTAGTGATGTTGTTGTTGTTGTCGATCGATTATTCTTCTTCTTCTTTCTCACTTTGACATGATTTCGGTTTAATACAGGGGCTGTATTCTTGTTGTTTTCAGTATCAGCAACAGTCTCGGCATCAGTGTCATCATGATCTTGACAGCTATTGTCATCAGCATCAGCATCAACATCACAATCATAATCACGTTCGTGACTAGACAGAGGATTATTATTCAACGACGATTTAGATGTCATGAATGAAGACGACAATGATGATGAAGAGGATGATGACATAGTAGTTGATAAATGCTGTAAAATAAGGAAAAATGTAAAATTAGAAAGAGACATGATGACATGAGACAAAAGAGAGTTAAACTACAGTATAATACATGTGTGTGTGTGTGTGTGCGTACAACTTGGCCACTGTGGTAGTATGTAAATATCAAATTAATTTCGGTAAATGAAAAAACCCCATATTGAAATCAAAACAAGATTTTGAGCGAACAATTGTTTTCGATAACTTCTTCTTCAGGCTCTACAGTTATAAATCCACCAATAGAGTACATATAGCCAATAAAGGCAAATGAAAATAATATCAGAAACTGTATTGGGGTGCATGTGTAAGTTGAGATGATAGTCCATTAGTTAACACATAGTCAATCAAATGTGTATAGGGTATACAGTCAGAAAAATCTGATGAAGTGTGAATGAACAGTTGGGTGATATAGTGCTGTTTTATAATCACAGAATACAAGTGTCATTGGGGTGAGAAAAATGCGATAACCATAAAACAAATACAAACGCACATTAATTTTCAAGTATTGGTGTTTTTGGGATTTTGTTTGATTGCATCGAGGATTTCATCATGAGCTGACATCAGATAGAGAACCACTGCAAACCCTAGGAGTACTGGACAGCTGTTTCGTCCTAGTTTGGGACTCTTCATCAGTACACACCCACCGGGGTTTGAATCCAGGACCTTCTGATTACAAGGAAACCCCCACAAAACCAATACTTGAAAATTAATCTGATGCTCACTAGCCACTGGCCCTATTCAGGCAGTTAACCTGTGGTTCTAGTGGGAAGCCATGACCAGTAGCGTACAGCAGGTTGAAGATGAGGTAGTAGCTCATCGAAGAAGACATTGCGAAGTAGTCGCACTATGTCGTTAATTCGCAGAAGTTAGAATTCAAGGACCATTGGGTCGGGTCCCAGTGGCTTAACGGTCTCACCTTGTAACCAGAAGGTCCTGGGTTCGAAAGCTGACGGTGGGTGCGTACTGATGAAGAGTGGCAAACTAGGCTGACGAAACAGCTGTCCAGTACTTCCAGGTTTTCCAGTGGTTCTCTAAATGATGTCAGCTCATGATGAAATCCTCCATGCAGTCAAACACACATTAACAAAGGGGACACTGAATGTGAGGGCTGACAGATAATGTCTAATAATAAAATAAAGAGGCTAAATTGTAAATTGTAATAAGATGTTACAGAATTGGTAGGCTTAGTATAAAATCACAAAGGTTGAGAAAAAATTGAGGGTAATAATGGGGTGAAATAAACTGGGTGGAGAAATGGATAATAAAGACATGATATCACAAAATGATAATAATGATACGAAAAATTATGATCCTGGTGACCTTATAGTGGGACAGGGTAGATAAAGAGAGAGTGAATAAGTTTTTTCTGTACACATAAGTCTGATCTCTCTCTCTGTTAATCTCTATAGCCTCAGCTATGGCTAGGAGGCGTAATCATGTGCCTTTGGGGAGACTGTTCAGTACTCGATACACAACTGTAAATGACTCTGACTATACACCCAATACATATGTGATTGACTATGTTAACTAATGGAGCCCATGCACCCCAATACAGTTTCTGATATTATTTTCATTTGCCTTTATTGGCTATATGTACTCTATTATTCACGGATTTATAACTGTAGAGCCTGAAGAAGAAAAAGTTATCGAAAACAATTGTTCACTCAAAATCTTGTTTTGATTCCAAATTAATTTGTTTGTTAGATATATCCCGCATAGTGAAACAGTATTATTTACTGGTGGATGACTAAGTTTCGAATACACCTTACTGTTGTTCATAATCATACCATAACTAAAGTGTAACTACACAACTTCGAAACTTTCGTTTTATAGTTTTCTTTATTCTTTCCTATTCATCGTCCCAGGGGTAGTAGAATTTTCTAGATGTCTGGATGGATAGGTGCTGAATCCTTCCTATTGCACGTATTTTCAGCTGATGCGATAAATACAGTTTCTGTTAATAAATACCTCCCTCTACCCTGTTATATTAGATTGTAGAACTGTCAACAACGGTTACCCTCATAGGTTCATTAACAAGTACGGAAGATCTGAAGGTTCGAACGCCAAACGAATCACAGTGGGGAAAAAGCCTATTTTCATTTAACTACAATTTAAGGGGGGGGGGTGATAATATTGCAGGAATAATCAATAAAAGATTGGATATGTCGCTAACCACAGCGCCTATCCTGCAGCTAAGCTGGTTCCTGTCTATCGAACAACATGCTCTTTGGTGCAGTCAAAAGTCGACAGATATATCCTTCTCATGTTAAATCCAACTGTGTATACAAATTTACATGTATCTGCAGGAGTAGTTACATTGGGACAACAGAAAGAAGGGCACACCCCCTTCGATTTTCTGAACATGTACCGAAAAGCCAACGTCTTAAGGGAACAATTGCTTTCAACAGTGTCATCGCTAGGCACTTCTCAATCTTCTATTGACAATTGCTGTAATATTTTCACTTTTAAAGTCAAGTTGAATGAAGACAAGCTTTTTTCCCACTGTGATTTGTTTGACATTTGAGCCTTCGGATCTTCCATATTTGTTAAGGAACCTTTGAGGGTAACCGTTGCTTTTCAACATCTTTTCGAGAAACATAAACTCTTCCTCTAATTTCTCTGTAGAGCATATTCTCCTAGCTCTATAGTATAGAGTCTTGACTAGTGCTCGTTTAAAGCTATTTGGACAAAAACTATTAAAATGTAGGTATTGTCCTTTCCATGCAGGCTTTCGTAAATTGACTCTGGAGACTACATCTTCTAGGTGTTGAATGGCAGTGTCAAGGAAATGGAACTTTCCATCATTTTCATGTTCCATAGTAAATTGAATATTTGTATGTGCGTCGTTGAATAATCTGAGTAGGTAGGAAGCATGACTTTCATTGTTGCACACTACAAATGTGTCATTAACATATCGACAGTAAGAAGTTGTTTCGTCTATTGCATGCTTCAACTTTGTTTTCTCAAGGTTGGACATGAAGATGTCTGCTAAAACAGGGTTAAGTGGACTGCCCATAGCTACACCATCTATTTGGCGGTAAAAAGTGTTGTCAAATTGGAATTGCACATCCATGGTACACATTAGCAGTAGGCATTTGAATTTCGAGACTGGGAGTGGGAGAAGATCAAACTGCTGATAAATGATCTCAATAGTTTCATTGATTGGGATCCTTGTGAACAAGGAGGTCACATCAAATGACGCCATGAACTTATTTGAAACGTTCATGTGGTTCACACTTTCGGCGAAATGAAATGAGTCCTTCATGGTGTACAAGGCTAGCCGTTGACAATGGGTTCCAACTTCTCCGCAAGCCACTCTCTGCAAGTATGTTACAAAATGTTTCTGTAGATAAACTTAACAATGTTTTTGGGCTGTAAGCAGCAGTTGATGAGAAGCCAACAAAATAAACAATGGTGGTACCATTTTATTCTGCAAAAATCACTGTTTTTTCTTGCTTTATTCAAATTCATCAAGGGGAATAAAAGTATGAAGACATTTTCAAATGTGACAATACTACTATTACTACTCACCCACCGAGGCTCGAGCCCATTCCCCACAGTTTCAAACGCCAAAGCGTTATCCACTAGACCACTTGGGCCACGGGAGCCACCTCTTGTGCAACGGGTCATTTAAATATTTAATTCAATTTTACATTTTCCCGTCGATCGATTGAACCGAAGGGTTCGGTCTCAGGTTGACACGTCGGCTTCTTGTCTTGTGGGAACATCATCATTCACTGGGGAATGCAGGCACATCCAGCTGATGGACGAGTCCCAAATAGGACGAAATGCGCATCCTGACTGGATTCCACTGCTAGTCACCATCCCCCCCCAATTAAATTCTAATTACATGACCAGATATCGTCGAAGCATCTGCACAAGAAGCCAACAGACATGTCAACCTGAGACCGAGCACTTCGGTCCAATCAATCGACGGGAAAATCTAAAAAAATAATTCAATTAAATAATAATGAACAGTTGTTAATAAATCATTTGGAATAAAAACATACTTGAAAACTATCTGGCAAAAGATCAGTAGATTTTGTTTGATTCATCAATGCATGCAGAGGGATGTCTGTCTTTGATCTATTCCGATAATTTGTTCGAGGTGGAGCTGCTGATGACGAGGAAGAGGAGCATGAGGAGGAATTATGAGGCTTTGTCTTGAATGCTTTTGTATTATGCATTAATTCATCATCATCAACAACATCATATTCAGTAGATATGATATGTGAGAAAAATGAATGATTTAATGCAGCATTTCTGACCTATTTATTAAGTGTAAAAAAGAAAACAAAAGGATAGACAAATAAACGACAACAGTATATTAAGAGTAAGAGAAAATTTGAAGACTACTACTACTAGTAGCGTAACGACAGAAGACAAGGGCCAGGCAACAGATCGTTCATTGAGAAAATCAATAGATATTTATAGATTTTTATGTGCATTATTATTAGCGTTATTGTTAGCAGAGGAGCAACGTCTTCTGATTGGTTGTTCTCTTGCTGAAGGTCATTCTGTACTGCTTGTCACCGTTTCTTAGAAAGTTAGGCCATATATCGGCGAATCATATTTGCACACGTTAAGTGATTGGCTGGTGAGTTCCTCAAGGTTAGTTAAGCTTTATTGGAAATGACAAAACCACAAAGGATGAGAATGCATCACCACCACTGAGAACTATTACACCAGCTATATCACCACCAATTGTCTCGTCATTCATATATATATATATATATATATATATATATATATATATATATATATATATATATATAATTACTTTATGCATATACTGATCGATTGATTTTTGTCTAAAATGAACTCTGTGCAAGTATGTTAAAATTGTTTTTGTAGATACATTTAAGAATATCTTTGGCCTGTAAGCAGCTGACGAGAAGGCAACGAAATAAAAGATGGTACCACTTTATTCTGCTAAAACTGTAGTTCTCGCTTTGTTCAAATTCATTAAGGGGAATAAATGTATGAAATCACAACTTTGTTTTTCCAAAAGTCTCAGCTTCTTAAACTTCATCGATAACTGTTTTTCTAAGTGACAATAATAATCTCAATTTTGGGGAAACAAAATTAGAGTGGGTAGGAGTTATACAGTAATTATAGGTTTATGTTTCCTCAATTTCAAAGCTCGCAGTTTATCAAAGACAACAATACCGTACTAAATTTTCTATGTAATTAATTCTTAGTGCTCTCTGAACTGGTTGGTTTAGTTGAGGAGATTTTTTCGTCCTCCTTCGGGACAACATCCCCTTTCAGCGCAGTATTTAGCATAAAGTGAACTGATTTAAATTTCTTCATGAGTGAAAGAATTGCGTCTTCTGGTGACCAACCATCTTTACATATGTATTGATCATTTTTTATTGATTTGGAATTTGAAAATTTCTCGTCACATGACCTACTTTTTATTAGTTGGTATATTTCGTCTATATTAACATGTTTGTTAACCGCATATTCATTTGAGTACCAGGCTTCTAGGAATTCCTCTGTCTACAATTTCGACATTATCCCCAATCAAACTGATGTCCACATAATTATCTACATGCATTGATATGAAAGAATACATGTATCATGTCTTTTCACAGCTGATTTGTGTTGCTGGATTCTGATTCGAAGGGGACGCCCACTTTGGCCAATGTAATGTCTGTTGCAGTCCAGACAATTTATTTTGTAAATAGTATTAATTTTATCTCTTTTTTCCTATTACCAACCATTAAACCAATAGACTTCTTATCTTTGCATCAGAAGTCATTGCTTGACAGAAACATGCAAATGACAGTGCAGTTAGAATTCATTATCACAATTATTATCGCAATACTAATGGCAGTATATTCACCAAACAGTACTGTTTTCAGTTAGATTATAGCAAACTTTAATATACATAACCTTACAATAATAATTTTTTATTTTGATTATAGCTTGATTTCACACACTGCAGTTTTTGGTACAAGTATGGAATTTTCAGCATGTGATATCGGTAGCCCAAATTTGCAGGCCGACCATTGATATCGGGTGTGCGTTGGCGGGGGATCGAACCCCGGGCCAAGCGCATGGTCGGCGGGAGTCCTAACTACTGTGCCACCGACGCACACAAAGTGCAGAAATTTTCAGCGTTCCAAAATATTTTGCCTTCATACAAGATTTACATGTGAAGTAATCGTTTGAAGTATGCCATGCGATACAGTGTCATTGCATATGAGGAGAGAACCAATTCTGTACACATTTTTCTTCATTTCCTTCAAGAATTGCACAGCGCTTCATTGAAAGCTAATTTAATATGTGCGCGAGTTCATGTAGAGTGATCATTTAATATGATTGCGCGATTAAAACATTCAGAAATATTGAAGAGTTTAAGCAGCATTTTGGAGGATGAAAGCTCTGCTAGCCCAGTGATTTAGGCAAGCAGGCCACCGTTCGTACAGCCATTATCTCTTCCTTGGCCAGTTAAGACTTAACCAACCAATGATACCATTACAATACCTGGTATAAACAAAATTTTTAATCCGTTTATGCTTTCTATTCCTTTACATTTCCAGTGGAACATAGGGCTTCAAGCTAGAGGCTTGAAGTTTCGGTAGTAGTGGTGTTTATTTTTTTACGGGATGGGGTTGCTAGCCTCATGCCCAACCTTCCCTCTTTACCAGTCTTATTACTGGCTTAGCGAGGTAAAGGAGTGTGTCGGTGGCCGGGGATCGAACCCCGAACCACATGAGGCGTGGTTGGCGACCATTCTACCGCTGTGCCAGCGACGCACTCGAGAACATAGTTATAACTATCAAAAACAATTTATACTTATATCTTCATAGTTTATTTACTTCATTTGCAATCTTAGTACTGCTTAATCGAACTATTCCTTTTGTTTTCTTTTGTTAACCTTTATCTACTACGTGTCTATCTGAATATTTGTTTGCTGAATCATGCTGTTTGTCTTCTTATACTTATTTCTCAAAAATCGCCCCTCTTTTTTATCGCTGTTGTCATCAATAGAATTATTGATAATAATAATATTATTCATAAACAAATCACAGTAGGAAAAACGCCAATCTACACTCAGCTTGATTATAAAGGTGAAAACATTGCAGCGATGATCAACAGAAGGCTGAGTACATCACTAGCCAGAGCCTATCCTGCATCTAAGCTCGTTCCCGTTTATCGAACAACTTGCTCTTTGATGCAATCGAAAATCGATAGATATCCTTCTCATGTTAACAACTCCAACTGTTTATACAAATTTACATGTATCTGCGGGAGCAGTTACATTGGAAGAACAGAAAGAAGGGCTTATCTACGATTTTGTGAACATGTATCAAAACGCTTACGTCTCAGGGGAACAAATGCTTTCAACAGTGCCATCGCCAGGCATCTCCTCGACACGGGTCATGAGGTGGACGTTCAAAATTATCAATAAGCAAAAGAGCTCAATTCTCCTCAAGTTTGCTGAAGCCATTTCCATCAAGCGCCTGAAACCTGATTTATGCGTTCAGAAAGAAGCGGTTATCAGTCTTTCTTTGTCAACCTGGTAACAGGATATTTTTCATTTCTCTTTCATCCGAATGCGAAATGCTGAAAAGTTTCCATTGTGTATGATTATTATTGTTCGGAATAGTGTTTAATATTGCATATATATATATATATATATATATATATATATATATATAATTACTGTATGCATATATTGATCGATTGATTTTTGTTTAAAATGAACTCTGTGCAAGTATGTTAAAATTGTTTTTGTAGATACATTTAATAATGTCTTTCACCTGTTAGCAGCTGACAAGAAGGCAACGAAATAAAAGATGGTACCATTTTATTATTCTGCTAAAACTGTCGGTCGGTCGGTCGGTCGGTTTTCGACATAGAACTTTGCACATATGTGCGGCAGTTCAAGTCGCCACAATCTATGTAGCACGCAAAGCAAGAGAAGAAAGTAGAAGAAATGCATAATATAGACAGTAAACAGAGGTGTGAGACAAAGGAATAGTAATAACGGAGAACAAAAGTTTAATTGGAAATCATAAGTCACAAGGAGTGGATGCATCTGCGCCACTGAGAACGATTTTGAGCCATGTCACCAATTGTTTCCAACCATTGGTTTTTACCATCCCGAGGGCCCCAACCAGGAAGCCTACATCTTCCTACGTGGCTTAGATTAACTGTTGTGGATTTCATTGATTGGTGCCATGTTTTGGTTTGACCGCCACTAGCTCTTTTCCAGCCTGACCCTATATCAGCTAACATTGCCCGTCGAGGAAGGCGATGACTAGGCATACGTAGCACATGTCCCAACCATCTCAGTCGAAGTAATTTCACAGTCTCGTCGATTGATTTCCCCGCCTTACCTAGCACTCGACGCCTAACCTCAATATTGCTCACCTTATTATACCACTTCACGCGGGAGATAGAACGCAGACACCTATGATCGAAGACAGCTAATCTTTTCATGTCTTCTGCTCTCAATGGCCAGGTCTCACAGCCATAAAGGAGGACGGAGCGGACTGTTGAGCAGTACACACGCCCTTTGGTTGATAGTCGGATATCGCGTCTACGCCAGAGACGGCGAAAACTGGCGAATGTGAACCTAGCCCTCTGTATTCGTGCTGAAATTTCGTCGGAGATCAACCCGTTGGGGCTGATGGTACTTCCCAAGTAAGTGAAGCGGTCAACGTGTTCTACCACTTCACTTCCTATTTCTAATCTAGGGGTCGATGAAGTCCAATCCTGCAGCATCATCTTACATTTTATAGGGGCGAATCGCATGCCAAACATGCGGAGATTGTTGCTCAGGGTGTTCAGTAGACTCTGCATTTTGTCAGAGTCCTCGCCTAGAAGGGCTATATCGTCCGCATATTCTAAGTCAACGAGATTATTCCCTGGTAGCAAGTCAATCCCTGAGTCGCTGAAGTGAGTTAGGGTTAAGTCCATTAGTACATCTATGATGAAATTGAATAGGAATGGGGATAATGGGCATCCTTGACGGACGCCACTAGTCGTCACCACTTCAGATGACAACTCGCCATAAGCCCTCACCTGGCTGCATGAGTACGAGTAGAGTGCCTTAATCAGTGCAATGTATTTTCTTGGCATTCCCTTTACAGCCAAGCATCGCCAGAGAACCTCCCGGTCGACAGAATCGAATGCCGCCTTTAGGTCAAGAAATATAATGATTGTCGGACGCCGGTAGGAATGCCTATGTTCTAGAATCTGTCGAAGGGTGAAGATGTGATCAATACACCCTCTACCTGGCCTAAAACCTGCCTGGTTTTCTCGTGTTTGTGTCTCCCGAGCACCACTTAGTCTACGCAGTATTATTGAGCCTAGGATTTTAGATACTATATTAGTCAAGCTAATCCCTCTGTGATTATCACAAGACGACTTGTCCCCCTTCTTGTATATCGGGATGATCAGTGACTTACACCAACCCGATGGGACTTCCTCTGATTCCCAGACGCTGCCTAGAACCTCCGTTAACGCAGACAGTAAACTGTCGCCTCCGTACTTAAATACCTCTGGAGTCAATAAATCAGGTCCCGCTGCTTTGCCTAGCTTCAGATTGGTGACAGCTTTAGTAACCTCGGTTAAGGACGGAGGACCTGTGTCTATCTCCCATTCAGGGAGGTGTTGGATGTCCGGTAGGTTAAGTGTGGCTGTGGGCCAATTAAACTGCTCCTCATAGTGTTCTTTCCAGCGCTCCAGACGTCTATCCTGGGAGCTAATTATGGTGCCATTTTTCTCAGAGATTGTTTCGCTTATCATTTGTTTTTTACCACCTGTTTCCCTGATAAGCCTGAATAGTTGTCTGGTGTTGCCTATCGCCGATGCTTTTTCCATCTCTTTCGCCTTAGTCAACCACCACTGTTCACGGTCCTTGCGGAGACTTTTCGTAAGTTTCCTCTTGTGCAGCTTTCGCTCCTCATTGAATTCGGAGCTCGCCGGAATAAGTCTTCTAGCATCTATCAGTTCGGATGAGGCAGTCGAAATCCAGTGGTTTTTACTCACCTTTGGAATTACCTTATTCACAGCTTTTACAGCTGTATCTATGGCTGACTGAATATTCTTCCAGGCTTCTTCAGGGTGAGTGCAGCTGTCAAACTCAGATATGTGTTTAGCTAGTTCTTCCTCAAATAGGGACTTAGTTCCCTGGTCGAGCTGGGGACGTGATGGGTTTACCGCTCGCTGTTTCCTACGTCCGTTCAGTCGTAAGCACACACGAGCGCGGACCAGTGCGTGATCGGTATCTACACACGTGTTCCAGAAGGAGCGACAATCTCCTACCGACCCACGCCAACGATAGCTTATTGCTATGTGGTCTATTTGTGTCCAGCGTTGATTTGATGATGGGGGTCGCCAGGTCAGACAGTGTCTCTCCTTGTGTTTGAAGTTAGTGCTTACAAGATACAAATGATTATCTGAACAGAACTGTAGGAGACGGTCACCGTTGTCGGTTCGCTGGCACGGAATTCCGTATGTGCCACCGACATTCTTCTCAGATTGACACAATTTCCCTACTTGAGCATTAAAGTCACCAGCTAAAACGACTATATCTGAGCGTCTAGCCTTTCGCAGCAAACTAGACAGCTTTTGGTAGAACTCATCCTTCGTTTCATCCGAACTGCAGTCAGTGGGGGCGTAGGCGGAGATTACGAAAAGGCATCGGCGAGTAGTGCAGTCCTTTCTCCTTTTCACTGATCCGTTCAGGCGGACAGCGCACATTCGGCTATCTACCGGGATCCAGTCAAGTAATGTCTTTTCTGCTCTAGTACTTAAAGCTATCCCAACACCAGCTAATCCTCGTGAGCTAGCCGTCGCATCTCCTGACACCCTCAAGGTGAATTTTGCAGATTCATCCTGTTGGCCAGGTGGGGTTAGGTGAATAACCACACTTGGGTCTTGTATGCGTGTTTCTGAAACACAACATACATCAATGGCTCGGGATGCCAGAGTCTTGGCTAGAGATGCTTGTTGTCCTATTTGGCAGAGTGTCCTAACATTAAATGCTCCTATATAAAATTGGTGGCGTGGTTTTAGGAGACAATCGGTGGTGGCTTTTTGGCTTCCATCGTTATCAGTGCACACAGAGTGAAGGGGAAGTGAAGAGCCATCAAGTAGAGGAGTTGCATTGGTAGAAGGAAGGCAAGATAATAGAGATGAAGATGAAGACAAAGATGAGCGAGGATTAGAGGGGTTTCGCGTGCACTTCGGATTGTGAGGGCGATTGGTACTTCCCGGCTGCCCACACCGTGGAAGTTGGTTGCGTGACCGCAGAGCCCAGGGGACAACTGCTTGAGGCCGGTCACACACGGCCTGTTTTTGTTTGTTCTTTTTTATTTGGTGTGTCTCAGTAGCGTATTTATCACTTCTGCCCTGTGACACGGCAGCAGAAAGCGCGGTCGTTGTTAATCCGGGCCCCGGCCGATCCGGCATGAAATTTTGTGATTTATTTGAAATCATAGGATTGGATTGGGTAACTGCTTTTAGTCTAACTGCTATCCAAACAACCTTTCTGGCATGGTAGGACCTGCAGGAACATAAGTTCCAGCCAGTATAGCTTGTTGGGTCATTGCAGTGTTCAAGCCCGACCACCACGTCAAGGTAGCAGCTTTCGGTCGGGTGCTAAAACTGTAGTTCTTACTTTGTTCAAATAACATTATTATTCTCAGGTGTAAAGTTGCAAGGGTTTCACTGGTTACAGGATTGACTCACGAGCTGACATCAGTTTGAGAACCGTTGGAAAATCAGTAGGAAGTACTGGACAGCGGTCTCATCCTAGTGGCCGGGACTCTTCAGCAACATGCACCCCGTGGGGTTCGAACACAACACCTTCCAGTTACAACGTGAGTTAGCAGACCCGACCCAATGCCCAATGAACACCCACTTCTGTCAATTCGTGATACATATATATGTATATATATAAACTATTCTTTTGCCTGACTTGATGAACCCCGTTGGTTACGACTTCTCACTAGAACTCCAGATACCTTCCTGTATAGAGCCGGTCGCTAGTGAGAATAACTATCATTATTATTATCATCATCATATTGACAAATCACCATGATTAGTTTACATTTATTAAACACATTTGTAAAGTTATTTATATTAGAGTACAGCCTGAGATGAGATCTAATTGCTAATCAAAAATAAGTATGTTATGTATTTGAGTAGCACTGCTACACTCTAATATCATCATCAAAGTATTTGGACACTAGTTAGTAACTGGTATCCAATACAGTCCTACGAGAGGTCGACTACCAGCTAGGATAGCTCACTGCTGACATCTCTAATGCACCGCCACTGGGTGATACTGGTTTGAATCTCAGGAGGGATATGAATTTCTTCAGGATAGCAGATAGGCTTTGCTAACTAACTGGTGAGTACCAACAAACACGAAAACTAGGGCAAGCAAGGCTTCCTTCCGACTGCCTTCAACTATCTAATAACAAGGGTTACCAACTTTACCTAGATAATGAAAACTCCACTCCAAAGTATTGTTGATATAAGTATAAAACTTGGGCACTGTAGTAGAGTATAACTCCATTATGGATAAAATTTTATGTGGATAAAATCACACAGTGTTATACAGTAATATTAACTGATGACCACGTTCCCAGAACAAATTATGGCTACTCATAATCATGTCAAGGCACTCACACAACTTTCTTCCTTCATTTGTATACATGAGCAAAAATTATTGACAAGACATTTGAATAAAATCAATCAATAAGTCTGTGACTGTGAGTTAAGTCAACTACATAGGTCAAACTAGTAGATCAGGAGTAGTGAGATTATCAGAACAAAAGAGTTCGGCTACAGTTAAAATGATTGATACCACGAAGTAATTTAGAAAAAAAAACTCAGCAATAGCCTTGCATGCATTAACATATAACCATACAATAAGGTGCTAGAGAGTTACAATTCTAAAAAGTAACATAGATAGATGGAGGTAGAGACAAATCGATTACTGAATCCTGCCTGGTTCATCGAGTCTACACCCAAAACATGCAATAGAAGTGACTCAATACAAATACCAGAGATATGGAAGATATTATTACCAGTCATATCAGAGGAGGATAATAAATAATGTTAAAATGTATTCAATTCACATTGTGACATTCTAACAAGTTACTTATTATTCTAACTATAAAAGCACTCGTCTTATATCCCATTTGATTGCATTTGATTGATAACACTCATATTATTATCTCTAAATGTACATTATCCCATATTGATTTTATTCAAATATCTAGTCAATCCCACACATGTATATAAATGAAGGAAAATAGTTGTGTGAGTGAGTGACTTGATATGATTATGAGTAGCAATAATTTGTGTTTGAAACGTTGTGATCAGTTAATATTACTGTATAAAAACAATGTGTGATTTTATCAAAATAAAATCTTATCCATAAAGGAGTTATACTGCACTGCAATGTTAACCATTTTTTAAATACATATGTTGGGAGGAAATATTACATCAGTTAATTATCGAAAGCGCCAGTGGGTACAAAACTATTGGGGCAGTAACAGTCATAACCCCATGAAAGTAATTATGCCGATAATAGTAACCGGAAGGTCCTGCGTTCGAGTCCCAGTGGGTGCGTACTGCCGATGATTCCCAAACTAGGATCAAAACAGCTGTCCAGTACTCCAGTGCTGGTTTTCAATGGTTCTCTAATTGATATCAGTCCGTGATCAACTCGTAAAACATAACTAACCCTTACAAACCAAACTATAGAAAATAATATTAATAATCATAATATTAATGTTGTTTACCTTTTGTAAAATCTTTTGTGGTAATTTAAATGTTTTAAGCTTTTCAGTACCACGTCCAGTAGAAGAAGTTTTTGTGATATGCGAATTGATTTGTTCAGCAATTTGATAAACTTGTTCTGCATGAACTAGATAAGCTTTTACACCATGACTAACTATGACACCGGTTTGAACAAGCCAAGCTTTATCTTCATTATCACAAGCATAACGAAATAATTCTGGATGTTTACTATAAATGCGACCACGAGCAGTGCCCATTCCAAGCCAACTATAAAAAGTTAAAGTAAACAAATTAAATAAATAAATAAATAAGGAAAGAAATTCGAACAACAACAACAAAATCATACAGAATATGCAAAGAATATTGAAGTTATTGTAACAACGGAAGGCAAGACACGGAAGCCAAAGTATTCTGTAGTTAATGCTGAATTGAACTGTGGGAACATGTGAGAATAACATTCCGTTGACAAACATTGTCTGTGTCACACCACCACACTCGCCCCCCCCAGTCAAAAACTTTCGACGGAAGTCGGTCGGATCATCTTGGTGCTGGCGGCTTTTTGAGCTTGTCTTGGTGTATCGAGTTTAACTGTCAAGGATTTCTGCTGCTGCTGGTTGCTGCTGGATTCAACACAGAACTTGGCACCGAAGTGCAGCAGTTCGAGTCGCCACGTCAAGGATTTCATGGATTGATGAGGCCATGTTTTTGTTTGGCCACCACTAGCTAGCTCTTTTCCAACCTGCACCTATATCAGCTAGTAATGCCCGTCGGGGGAGGCAATGGTTAGGCATGCGCAGCACGTGACCTAGCCATCTCAATCTATGTAACTTTATAGCCTCGTCGATCGTCGGCGGAATTGAAATAAATTATATCAACGTTTCCGTTCGACAAACTGGTCCTAACTTCTTCAGAGAAATTAATCAAAATTAAAGTAACATTAATAATCTTTTCGAATTTTTTATAAAAGAATTCAATCTTCAAAAAGAAGACAAATTAAAAAAGTTTGACAGGATGTTTTCATCAACTAGACTAGACTGTAACACACTAGACGTCATCTTTCTTCACATACATTGAATCCATAATGTCAATGGACGTGAACATTGAACGTTTGTTTATTGGGACTGGCAGCCATTGGTGGGCAACTGAAAGGCGCGAATGGTTCGATCGCTTGCAAGTTGAACGAAGGCGGAAACGAATACGAATAAAAGTACTTTATAACTTCATTTTTACTTAACATTTGTTTGTAGACTTTGTAGTTGTCTTCACTTTAATTGCCAAACAATATAATTTCGTTCAAGGAATACTGGTGTTTTGGATTTAAGGTTGAAAGAAATACACAGTCTTTATCGGTTCCAAACGTCCTCGTTACAATAGGAACTTAGGGCTAAGTTCCTTGACACAATATTCTAGATACGAACAAAGTAGTGGTGGTAAAAGTCATCTCTCTGATAGAAATTTATCTTTGATTGTGAGCTGTCACTCCTTAATTCTAATCTAAACAAAAGATGATTGCCGGCCTTCGCAATTGTTCCAGCCATTAAACTTTCATAAAAAATGTGTGTGACAGCCGAAGTGGTAAACATGATAAGACGCAAAATTGTCGCTACATTACTAAATCAGAAGACAAAGTTGCCGAATATTAGCAAAGGCGAACAACTAGCAGGCATTAAAACAGTTACAGAAAGATAGGTCTATTGTCATTGCAAGAGTAGAATATAGGGCAATATCATTGTGGTGAGAGCAGTCTGCTAGCCAATATTGGTAGACAGCAATTTACGTCCTAAATCTCAGTCATGAGAAAAAAACGAGAAAAAATCCTCGAAGCACCGCTTACTCCAAACAGCAGAGGCTATTGCAATTCGCCTCAAACAACCAGCGCTCTGTGTCCAAAAGAAACAAGTCCAGCCCCTACTACTGCCCTGGCCCTCAGTAGAGACTATAAACTCATGAATTTGTACCATTACCTTTCCTAATTCTTCTGACATTCAGTTTATTTGATGTTGATGCTGTTCAGCTGTAATTTATCAATATTATTGATTTGATGTTATTTAAACATTAATGTCGTTCATAAGACTAATTCATTCATTCATTATAATGTATATATAATTGTAGAACCTGATGATGAATTTATCGAAAAGAGTTCTCTTTGTTCAGTGTCTATTCTTTTGAAAAAAGACTAGCTCAACAACCAATCACAACAGACATTGCGTGGGCGGATGCGATAAGCAGATATATGGTCTGACCTACAAAGAAACAGCCACAAAGAGATGACAGAATAACTCCTAGTGAGAAAACGACCAATCAGAAGACGCTGCTTCTCTGCGAATAATAACAAATAAATAATGTACATAAAAATATATATATATATTTCTCTTGATTTTCTCAATGAACGATCTGTTTGTTGCCTGGCCCTTGCCTTCTGTCGTTACACCGCGATTGTTATGAATACTGTAGATTATGGAAAGAAAGCTGCGGAACAGCTTAATATTGGACCTTATGTAAAAGTTGACATGATAAAGTCAAGAGCTGTGTTGAATAAATTAAAGGCAAAGTGTTACAGCCAATAAAAGAGAAACTCGGTGTATCACTCTCGATTTACTCTGGCTCCAAAAGGTTGCACAGTCCCTGTAGATTTTATGGACTACCAAAAGTACGCAAACCAGATGTTCCATTACGTCTAGTTAGGCATTTTACTAAATCTCCGATCCACAAACTATCCAAATACATTTCAAGAATACGAAATTGAAAGTGGAATATGGAGTGAAGGATTCGTATGAATTTAAGAGAAAAATCACCAGGAATTCTGTTGAAGAAGATGAAGTAATGGCAAGTTTCGATGTTTTATTCATTATTCACGAATGTTATCATTGAAGATTCTCCAAGTGATTTACTTCGTTCTGACAACAAAAACAATGTTCGATTTCCAGATGAAATTATGAAGGCATTGGAACTGTGTCTACGCTCCACGTTATTTACATTTCGAGGGGTTCTTTACCATCAAACAAAAGGTATTAATTATGGGATCACCAGTGTCTCCGTTGGTAGCCTAACTGTTTACGCACTCATTAGAAACAAATACAATTTATGAGACATCGTAGTCCTCCAAGAATGTAGTTAAGATAATGTGGATGATACATCTGTCATAATCAAACGCAGTATGTTCAATGAACTTTTTCACTTAATAAACAATGTGTCAAATACCATTGAGTTTTCAAAAGAGGTTGAATCCAACGAAAATGACTTAGCTTTTCTCGACTGTATTTGGTCCAAAGACAAACAGATGGTGAAGTAAAGATCAATATCTTCAGAAAGTCTACATATTCGGACAGATACCTAGACTACAATTCAGCACATCCCTTTAACACCAAAGTAACTTTGACTAAGCATCTGATTAACAGAGCCAAACGTGGAGTTACTGAGGTTGTAAAGATCAACAGGGAACTAAGGGTTATTCACTCTATTCTTGATTCAAATAATTACACGAAAACCGTTATTAAAAGATATTTAAAAAGTGAAGATAAGGACGAATCGAAACCTGTTGCTGAGACTTGGGTTACTACAGCGGTGATTCCTTATCTCAAACAAACATCAGATGAAATAAAGCAGGTTAAGAGTGAAGGAACATAAACAATATCTAAAAGTGGTTCCAAAGACCACTGAAGATTTTAAGAAGCTAGAAAACAGATCAACGATGGAAACGGGACACACGATGAACATTGAAAGGATCATGGTTCTACAGAAAAGGTTTCGGTTCGTATAAAGAAAGACTAACTGGAAAAGGCCTACATATATAGCTTGAACAGGCATGAAGGTGTGATGATAGCTGATGCATGTAAAATCGTGATTAATAAATGAAAATGAGCATGTATCATCGATTTATCATGCTTAATCTAATTTTCCGATTTTCTATATCTTCTTATAGAAAGGCTAACAAATGAATTACAATTGTCCCCTCATATATATATACACACACACCATTGTATACCGAACACATATTTTTCATGTTCAGTTATCTATGACCATGGACTTCAGCACCAATCACCATCAACAGGATAGATTTGACAGAGGTTACTTCCTTCACGGTTTAAACCACAGACAGTTGGAACGGATGAAGATGTCACAGCCAGCCAGCCAGAATCGAAAAGGCAAGATACACCTTCATCAACCTGAAACCAGTTTGGAAATCTTCTACACTCAATAAGCCAGCATAAACGACAAGAGGATTCGGATTTTTAACACAAATGTGAAGTCAGTTCTTCTATACAAGTCAGAAACTTGACCAGCGTATCACGAGAAGGGTTTCCAACAAGTTGCAGACTTTTATCAACAGCTGCCCGATTCGCTGGCTGGCTCCATACTAAAGATCTAATGGCCAGCTGGCCGGCCAGAAAGAATTAGCAGCAAGAAACTCTGGCTAGCAACAAACCAACCAACAACCTATCATTCAAGAAATATGTAGGAGAAAATGGAAATGAATCAGACACACGCTGAGGATATCGTCGGGTGACATCGCGAGTCAGGCCATTGCTCGAATGGAATCCCAATGGGAAACGACGAGTTGGGCATGGTTCCAAGGGTGACATGGTGGAGATCATGTGAGTTGGAGGAGGAGATGAGAGATTATGGGCAATCGTGGACCCAGTTGAAGAGGACAGCACCAAACAGAACAAAGTGGAGATGTGTTGTTGAAGCCTTACGTTCCACTCGAAACCCGAGGGAATAACAAATATGTTGTCGGACGAAGAGTTAATCAATACAATGCTTATCGAAGTCCATACAATTTCTTTGTAGATGGTGTTGATCTCTTGTCTCCTTTTACAAATATACACCTTTGTTACTCTAATTTTGATCTTAATTTCCCTGAAGAAGTTCGGACCAGTTTAACAAACGAAACGTGCTGGAATTATTTATTTCAATTTCGCTGAGATTTTACAAAATGTCTGCATATGTCTGTCTCCCTCACCGCCCAATTACTCTAGAACTTAATTGGTCAAATCTTGATCGCAGTTCACATAAAATTTAAAAAAGCAAAACAAAACAAACAGTAGTTACAACAAACAATACAAATGAAACAAAATAGACATTCAGTTGGAAAACAAACAAATAAACAGACAAACAAACCACTTACGAGTTTGCTGTTGAACCCAAAGCGAAGGATGTATTCTGGTCCAGAGTAAACTTTTGTGCTTTATCCTTGTTATTGATTGTAGTGGTAGTATTAGGAGTAGACATATTTCCATTCTTAGTTGCTTCAGTACACGTTTTTCTGAATAAACGTGAAGACGTCTCACAACTGTATTTATTACTATTCTCATCAATAGTATCATCATTATGATGCTGTGTCTGTGACTGATTACTGTACAATTCAGTGGCATTGATGACATCCTTATTACTACTACTACTACTACTCTGATTACTATCGTTATTATTGTTGACCCCAGAGGAAATAACATCTTGACTACATGAGAATAATAGAGAAGTAAATAATAATTATAATAATAATGACAGCTGATTAACTAACCCTGACATTATTATCAATCGATAAAACAAAAACAGAGAAAACAAAACAAACAGTCATGAAATGACTGTTCATCTATACTACTTGGGGGGTTGCTGGCAAGCATTGACTGTAACTCATTCTGATATTTCAAAGAAGTAGCAGGTGCTACTAGTTTGCTCACATCAACGTCTACACGACGCCTTTTATGAACCCCACTAAATCGCAAGACGAACTTAGGAAACACACTAACGCATGATGGGAGTCCAGGCATGTGCTCCAGAAGGAGCGACAGTCTTGTATGCATCCTCGCCACCGGAAACTGACCGCAATATGATCAATCTGAGTCCAAGCTTGCTTCGCAGAGGGAGGACGCCAGGTAGCGCTACGGCAATGGTTGTGCCGGAAGTTGGTGCTGGCCAGAAATAGGTTGTGATCCGCGCAAAGCTGCAGAAGACGGTCCCCATTATCTGACCTGCGACTATGTAGTCCCCACTGACCACCTAGACGATTCTCCTCTGAGCTCAGACGCCAGACCTGTGCATTCAAGTCCCCAGCACTACGATATCCCTCCGACCCGCCTGTCTCAAGAGATCGCTAAGTTGGTGGTATAACTCATCCTTCATTGCATCCGGGCTGCAATCCGTCGGTGCATAGGCAGAGACAACAAATAGACACCGCCTATCTGACCTACTACTCGTTACTTTCGTATAACCTTCCAGCATCACAGCGCAGAAACGACTGTTAATGGGAATCCAATCGAGCAATGCAGCTTCGGCTCTAGCGCTCAGTGCGACACCAACACCAGCTACGCTGGATGCCGACGCCACAGGGTCTCCGGACAAGTGCAGGTGGTACATACTACTAGAACTTCCAGATGGAGAGGATAATCGAAGCACTTCACTGGGATCTTGAATGCGGGTCTCCGAAATGCAGCAGACATCGATAGCGAGGCTTTCCAACGTTCTTACCAACCCTGCCTGTTGTCCGATTTGCATCAGCGTCTGAACATTGTAGGCGGCCAGCTTGAACGCAGCACGCGGCTTCAGGATATCTGTGTTAGATGTCACATTGGGGACAACCATTTTCAGGGTTACTCACTAACATCTCGAAACGACACAGATAGGCTAGGGATCTAGACAAAGGCGAAAGGTTGTCGAAGGTTAAGAAGTCAAGGTGAGCAAAGGTAAAATACAGGAATCTAAGTATAAAAATAAAAGTAAGGTTGGAAGGACATAGGCTGCTTGATGTATCATTATTCCTTGAGAGCATTGTTAAGAGCGCGCGATGAGTTTCACTGATATTTTGTTGCTTTATTTCATTTATTGTGTGAGGGCTGAGATACTGCCCGGGCGCCCACACCGAAGCAGGTGGTTTCCTTAAGGGACCACCCCCGAGCCTTTGACTTGGAATCTAATCCGCAAGGCAACGGAGCAGCGTCAGGTGCTGCGTTCCCATGGTTGCCGGTGACCCATATGGGTTCATACGCCATTTGATCCGATTGGATTCTGGAGCCCATGTACCCCATGGTAACTGCTTTTAGTCTAACCGCTATCCAAACAACCTTCCTGACATGGTAGGACCTGCAGGGACATGAGTCCCAGCCAGTTTAGCTGGTTGGATCACTGCGGTATTCAAGTCCGACCACCACGGCAAAGTAGCAGTTGTCGGCCGGAAAGGAAATAAGAATGAAGAGTAAAAGAAAAAGAGTTGATTTGTTTGAAATTGTGAAGGAGAATGCTAGTCTGGATTTCATAATCAATCAGTCTGTCAGTCAACAAGAAATGGGCTAGAGCAAACTACAATACACAGGGGAAATAAACGACGTAGATAAAAGTTTCATAGCAACCAGACAGATACTAAGAAGAAGAAGAGGTGTATTTATCTAGAGATGTCAAGTAACGATTTGACCGAGACACATTTTATGTTTTCTTTACTTGTTGAAGATTATTATTATTATTACTTTTATAGGGTTAGGAAAGAAGAAATCATTGATTCCTACTAAGTTCTAACAAGAATCAATTACCAATGTGGTGGATAAAGTTCAATGTCAGTAAGGACAGTCGCTTTGTTGATGATAAAGAATGATCAACAACCACTGTGGGTACACCATCGCTCAAAGTAGTGGAATACAGGCATATTCGACTGAAGAGTTCCGCCAACACAAATGGCTATTGAGAATTAGGAAGTAGAGACGGTGGAATCGGAATGCAAATAATATTATTACTCCTTTCAGATCCGAGTGGAATATAGTGCATCAAAAGAACACCTGCATTTCGTCCAGTTCCCTGCAGTCCTCTTCAACTGACCCCACGATTATCCATAAGACCTCGTTTCCTTCATATACGATTTCATCCATATCACCCTCGGAAATACACCCAATTAATCGTTTCTCATTCAGGTTCCACTCGAGTAGTAGTCTGGAGTGCGATGTCAAACAACGACCTCTCCGGCGTGTGTCCAATCCATCTTCATTTTCTCTCACATATTTGTTGAGCAATAGGTTTTTGATTGATTCGTTCCCAGAGTTTTTTGTTTCTAATTCTTTCTGGCCGTCTATCTGATATTCACTATAGAGCCAGCGAAGCAGGCAGCTGTTGATAAAAGTCTGCAGTGGCCTGCTGGAAATGATTTGGTGACGCGCTCTCCAAATTTCTGACTGATTTAATGTTGGTATTGAAAATCCAAAATTTGTTCTTAATGTTGATTGCAGTGCAGAAGACTTCCAAACTGATTTCACAGTGATGAAGGTCTGTCTTCCACTTCCGATTCTGACAGGTTTTGACATCCTCATCTATGCAGTCGCCGGTATTTGAAACGATGCTGCTATCCAGATAAGCGAACGAAATAACCTCTTTCAAATTTCTCTCAATGACAATGATTAGTGCCTCTTATTGTTCTTGGTCTCTATGTTCACTCGGCGTCCTGTCTTCACTACCTGCCACTTCTGCCCACTTTTCGGCTTTCGCCCGTAAGTCATCGGTCTTTATATGGCATTTTAAAAAAATCGTTAGCGAAGTCCAGTCCAAAGTATTCCTATCTTCTCGCTCCAGATAACAATACGGCGTAGACACTGAAGATATAAGAATCCAAACACAACTTCAATAAGTAAATTTGATACCATCTGAAATCTTAGACTTGGGCAAATGATTGAGGCAATATTCTATGACATTATAGAAGAATTATATATGTATATAAATATATGAGAGAAACAACTCACCCTAATGACGCATTATGGCTTCGATTGTCACCTTGATTCTATAAAATCAAAAGACGTAAAGTAAACGCATGAAGTATGTTAAAGGAAAAGAGCAGGAAAACATACAGAGTGTTCTAAACATTTTTTAAAAAACACCAATAGAATTAAACATTAATTGTAACAAATTGTATTAAATTATTTTGTTACTTTTTATTATCAAAACAATTAAAAATATTTGAATAAAGCACAAGCATAATAGTATAATGCAGTGAACACACACTGTGTTTTGCAGGATAAGATGAATTCAGTTTATCCGACAAAAGATCTTCACTGGATTATTGTGGATTATTTAGTTAAACAGTTTTTCAAGGGAACACTAATTGCATGAAGTTTCTTGAAACAACGATTTATAATTATTTATTTATTTTTTAGGAAAAATAATCTTGTAGAAATTGAATTTCATCATCTTCCTAGCCTTCTCAAACATTTTTTATTTTTTATTATAGCTTGATTCCACACCGCAGTTTTTGGTACAAGTATGGAATTTTCAGCATGTAATATCGGCTGTGAAAGGAATGCAGAGAAAATACATATCACTGACCAAGGCACTCTACTCGTACTCATTCAGCCAGGTGAGGGCTTATGGCGAGTTGTCATCTGAAGTGGTGACAATTAGTGGTGGCCGTCAGGGAGGCCAATTATCTCATTCATTTTCATCATAGATATACTAATGGATTTAACCCTAGCTCACTTCAGAGACTCAGGGATTGATTTGTTACCAGGGAATAATCTCGTTGACTTAGAATATGCAGATGATATAGTCCTTCTAGGCGAGGACTCTGACAAAATGCAGAGTCTTCTGAACACCTTGAGTTGCAATCTACGAATGTTTGGAATACGATTCGCTTCCGCCAAATGTAAGATGATGTTACAGGACTGGACTACACTGACTCCTAGTTCAGAAATAGGGAGTGAAGTGGTAGAGCAAGTTGACCGCTTCACTTACTCGAGAAGAACCATCAGCCAACGCCAACGGGTTGATCTCTGACGAAATCTCAGCACGAATACAGAGGGCTAGTTTCCCATATGCCAGTTTACGCCGTCTCTGGCTTAGTAGACGTGATATCCGGCTGGCTGTCGACCAAAGGACGTGTGTACTGCTCAACAGTCCGCTCCGTTCTGCCTTATGGCCGTGAGACCTGGCCATTGAGAGTGGAAGACATAAAAAGCCTGGCTAGCTGTCTTTGATCATAGGTGTCTGCGTTCTATCTCCCGTGTGAAGTGGTATAATAAGATGAGCAATATTGAGGTTAGGCGTCGAGTGCTAGGTAAGGAGGGGAAATCAGTCGACGAGGCTGTGAAATTACATCGACTGAGATGGTTAGGACATGTGTTACGTATGCCTGGTCATCGCCTTCCTCGACCGACAGGCAATGTTAGGTGACATAGAGTCAGGCTGGAAAAGAGCTAGCGGTGGTCAAAACAAAACATGGCTTCATCAGTCAATGAAATCCATAGCAGTTAGTTTAAGCCAGTCACGTAGGAAGGTGTAGACTACTGTCTGTGTTGGGTTCCTCGGGACGGTAAAAACCAATGGTTGGAAACAATTGGTAACATGGCTCAAAATCGTTCTCAGTGGCGCAGATGCATCCACTCCTCGTGACTTATGATTTCCAATGAAACTCTATTGTTCTTCGATATTACTATTCTTTTTGCCTCACATCTCTGTTTACTGTGTCTATTTTGCATTTCCTTTTACTTTCTTCTCTCACTTTGTGTGTTACATGGAGTGTGGCGACTTGAACTGCTGCACATCGGTGCAAAGTTCTATGTCGAAAACAGACAGAGATCACCACTAGCTCTTTTCCAACCTGATCCTATATCAACTAACATTCTCAATTGATTTTATTGGATAGGTCAGATCTTAAAGAGTAAATGAATCTTCACCACTGACAACGGATTTAAACCACATGACGAATTGTCTCTACCTATTGATTCATGGAGTCTCGAGGACCCCAATCAATCAAGCAGTCTACATATCCCTAGGCGGCTAGCTCAAACTAACTGTTTAAGATTTCATGGACTGATGATAAAGCCATGTTTTCATTTGACCACCATTAGCTCTTTTCTAACCTGATCCTATGTTAACTAACATTTCCCCTCAAGGAAGGTGATAGCTAGTCATGCGTAACATATGTCCGAACCATCTCAAATGATGTAGCTTAACAATCTTATCGATTGAATTCCCCTTCTTATCTAACACTAAACGCCTAACATGACACTTAACGCTGGGAAATAACCGAGATTGTTTTCCATTTCCATCAAAAGTAAAATGACTGACCGACTGACTGATAGGTTGGTTTCAACGTAGAACTTTGCACAGAAGTGCAGCACTTCGAGTTGCCACACTCCCTCCTTGTAGCACACAAGGCAAGAGAAGAGTATGGAGAGAGAGATTCAAAAGAGAGATATATAATAAACAGAAGTGTGAGGCAAAAAGAATAGTAATATGGAAGAGCAACAGAGTTTTATTGGATATGACAAATCACAAAGAGTGAATGCATCTTCGCCATTGAGAACAATTTTGAGCCAGCCACTGGTTCTTATCATTCCAAGGACCCTAACCAGGAAGCCTATACCTTCCTACGTGACTGGCTGGCTTAAACTAACTTTTTTGGATTTCATTGACTGGTGAAGCCATGTTTTGGTTTGACCATCAATGGCTCTTTTCTAACCTGACCCTATGTCAGCTAACATTGCCCGTCGGTCGAGGAAGGCGATGGCTGGGCATTCGTAACACATGTCCATATCACAAATTGTCTCCAGCCGTCATTGTTTCTTACCATCCCATGGACCCCAATCAGCAAGTTAGTCACCACCTCCCCCTATGCGGCTTAAACTAAATATATATTGGAAAATGAGTTTTTTCAAGGTTCCAGATATGCCTTGCTGACTGATAAGAGCCAACAAGGCACGAAATCTCGTGTATCTGATTGCCTCCAACCATCTAATAATAACAAGAATTCGCAGTGCACAGTGCAGTGGACCATCTCCTAGCATGGTGGTTTTATTGGAAACTTGACTGATACAATCCATAGCTGCACGAAACAAAGGAAATGATACTAGTCACTTATTACTTTAATAATAATAATAATTTACTTTATTCCAAAACACTACTTGTGATACAGAATGGAATTCTCAGCATTTTTACTACAGTATTGCATCCAGTTAGCACATTATCAATAAATAGAATTCTACATATATTAAAGAAATCTCAGTTCATTATTACAACAACACATTGGCATGTCGGCAGCAAAGGTAAAGCTGAACAGTGTTTGAAGGTGTTAGAAAAGTGGGAGCTGTCTTATTAACTGGCGTAAGCGGAAGAAAGAAACAAAGCAGCACATAACAGAAAAAAGAGAGAGAGAAAAGGAAAAGAAAGAAAGAAAATGTTGTACATATTGATGATGTGAGTTGGAAAGACGAGATCCAGTTGTACTACTGACTATTTAATGAATTATAGGTGTCACGCCTAATGCTTTCTTTATCATACAGAACACGAGCTAAGTAGGGTATGGTTGAGTTTTTGAACTTGCTATTGCGAGCATATAGTTTTCTATATAGGCTTCTGGCTTTACCTGATGAGATGCAAGGAGAGAGTTATGAGTGAAGAGGGTGGTATGAGTTAGATACTTAGATACTTAAAGTGCAATTAGAGTAAAGTAGAACTTTAAACGCCAGTTTCAGTGTTTATTGCAGACAAAATATGGGAAGAACAAGAACAAGAACAAGAACAACAACAACAACTTACCAGTGGTTTTTTGCCATTTATCAACTTTTCCTTATGGTTGTCAGATCCATTTTTACTTTTTGAAAATTTGGCATCACCACTACCACCAGCATCATTATCTCTACTTGGTTTCGCTTTTTTAGCCCGAGTTCTATCCCACCATGGAGTTTTTCGACCCCTGGATACTTTAGGCTTATTTCTACGAACCACCGGGACAACATTTGAAGGGACAGTAGATGTTACAACACCGGATGATGATTGATTAAATTCATACGCTGATGATAATTTTGCAAATGTAGTCGTTTGCTCAGATGCTGTAGTATTAGAACCGATTAAAGTTTCGTCACTATCCGAGCTGCATGCATCACGAAAGAAGCCAACTGTAGAATTCGATGAGGCTGATGAAGGTGAATGAGAAGAGAACTGCAGACTTGGACAATTTTCTCGTAGATCATTTATATTGTTGTCATCTAGAATGATTGGTGCACAGTTAGTTACCACCAAAGGTTTATTTCCATCAGATATCGGATTATCGCATGACTCAGAGGAAGCTGTTGTTGTTGTTGTATGGTTATTGGATGGACGTGGTCTTTTTCGTAAGTTTCCCAACGATGTATTATTTCTTAGACTGTATTGGGATTCACCATCCCTGGAAACTGGTCTTCGTTGATGATTCGACTGAACAGTCTTGAGCGTTTTATCTGTACGACTGTCTACACTGTTCGTAGTCAGAAATGAAGGTTTTTCCAGGGAGCCTGAATCTGATATTGTATTCGGTGAAAGATGCGGTGAATTATCACAAGATATTGATTCTGATGAATCGGGAGTTGGAATGCCAGATTGAAGTTTGCTATTGGGACATTTTGATAATGATACAGAAGAACCTGTTTTGGCCTGTGAAGTGACATTTATCACTGACTTTTGTACACCAGCATCAAGCGTATTAGATCTAGTTTGTTGTATAGTGTTATTTAAACCCCCTTGGCGATTAGCAGGACTTCCGTGAGAACGTTCAGGGAAATAACGCAGTGCAGCCTATAAATAAATTAATTAAACGATATAAATATTATTTTAAAAAAACATCTTGATAGAATTAAATATAAATACGTATACTTTAGGTCTGTTATCAGCCCTCATCGAGGAGACGACCAACTGATCATAAATATTCGACAAACGCTGAAACAGTTATCTCATTCTCAAATTTCGACACTCGGTAACTCTACACTATAGCAATCCAGGTGGACAGATGACCTTGACTAACGATTTTATTTCTTTAAGATCCGCCTGGAACGTAAGGCTTCAACCTTAAGCTTCGACGTTTCGGTAACAGTGGATTTATTTCTACAGGGTGGGATTGGTAGCCTCATCATGCCCAGACTTCCCTCTTTACGGCCTTACAACCGGATTGGAGAGGTACAGGAGTGCATTGGCCGGGGAACAAACTATGGACCACGTACGTGGTTGGCGAGCGTTCTACTACTGAGCTACCCACGCTTAACCAATCAGATGAGATCATAGTAAATACACAGAATTACGGATGCACCGCAAGAATTTATTAGCAGCTTTTTTCCAGATCTAGTAATTTAATAATGTTTGGATAATAGGCTCATAGGGTGGAGACAAAACACGTACGAGTAATGCCTGTACAAAGATATGAGATCGTTGTGGGTGTGTATGTTTATGGGTGTCCAGTCTATCATTGCAGAGAACAGTGAAATTGTCACCAAACAGAGTGATATACACTTTTATCTGGATGAATTTATATACAGAGATTGGTTTTGTCTGTCAACAAAGACTCCAGTAAGGAAATGGGAGGTTTTCTTGGAACATATATATACAAGAGAGTTACTCTGTATAACTATTTTTTAAACATCATCACGTTAGATTTCTATAAAAAAAATTCAAATTAAGCGCTTTTACTTTGGACTCATCTGATTGGTTAATACAGATTTACCAGATGTCATTATCATAGTTGTTCGTTTCGGTCGCTATAGTTTAGAGTTCTTAGACAATCTTTTAAAGTGTATCACGTAGTAATAATCAAAAACCACAGATGCAACCAGGAGAGAGATATATATATACTACTGTTAAAAAGCTAAGGGGAACATTGTTTTCGAAACCACTCATTCCTCACTGTCTGGCTATTGTGTCTACATCGCAAAGTTTTTTTACAAAAAAACCAAGTTTATGAATCTTTTACAAGCACTCACTTGACAACATATGTCGTTTTTTTAAGTAGCACGTTAATTGGTTAGTAATAGATTTATAATGCTAAGAGGATAGTGATGCATGACACTTGATTTGCAACCCTACACATAACTTCATCTGTTCCGTATAAGTTGGTTTGTACCATATTTTCCCATATTTTTGAAGTAGAGTCACAGTCTAAGAGTTTAATAGTGTTTAATCTTGAGTAGTTACTATACTTGGTAATGTATACGACAATAGATGAAATCTGTCCGCACAATAGAGATAAAATGAGATCTGTCTAGCAAGCTAACTAAGATAATACAACCACCTTACACAACTAAAATATGTATATTACACTAGTTTTTGAATTCCATAGTGACTTAGGCTTCCATTTGCTTTTTACTTCCACTAATGTGGCGCGTGTTACTGACAAGATTTATAAGTAGTATATAAATACAGATATAAATATACACATGTATATCAGCGTCAAGAATATCATATGGATTTCATGAGAAACAACATGGGAAAGAGGAAAGGACAACAAGGAAAAGCACTACGGAAAACAAAGAGGAACAATACAGAAGATATATGTAAATCTTGATTCTAACATATTATGGCAGACGTATGTTGCCTATTATAGTTGTGTATCGAGTTGCAAATAAATAATTCCATACTAGTCAATATCGTTTTGTTTTGTGCCGTTATACTATTAGTGGATCTCAGTTTCCAATCCTGTCGATGGTTATCAACGGTAGGACGTTCGCCAACGATGTACGTGGTCTGGCGTTCAATCCCCAGCCGACCCACTCCTAAACCTCGCTAAGTCGACATTAAGGCCGGTGGTAAAGAGGGAAGATTGGAGGGGGGGGGGGGCGTGAAACCAGCAACCTGCTGCTACTGAAACTTCAAAGCTCTATTTTCAAACCCTATATTCCACTCGGACAGTGAAGGAATAAAGTTAGGTGGGTGCGTACTGCCGATGATTCCCAAGAAACTAGGATGAAACAGCTGTCCAGTACTCAAGTGCTGGTCTTCTCTAACAGATATCAATCCGTGATCAACTCGTAAAAATTCACATATGAATTGAGCTGTTTTGCATATAACAAAGAATATACGCACACCCACCCACTCATTCAGACAAATACGCACATATGACATTTTCATATTAGTCATCACAAAGATGTGATGACTGTTTTAATCATTTTTCTGACTTTTGAAGGAGTTCACCTCAATTTATGTAAATTTTTTTCACTATATATTTTGATTAATAATAAAATTCGAGTAATTCTGCTGAGGACGCTGCGGTTTCTTGCATAGAGAAACGTCCGGAAAACCTTGTCTTTGAGTTATAGTGAGAAGTCGTGACCAGTAGGGTGCAGCAGGTCGGATGTGAGGACAAATACTCCCCGAAGACATTGGCTAGTGGTCACGCTATATCGTGAATTGGCAGAAGTCAGAATTCATGGGCTGGCCATTGGATCGGGTCCCAGTGGCTCAATGGTCTGCGAGCTAGCCCGCCTTATAACCAGGAGGTCCTCAGTTCGAACCTTGGTGGTGGGTGCATACTGATGAAGAGTCCGAAACTAGGCTGACGAAACAGCTGGCTGTCCAGTACTCCCTGGTTTTCAATGGTTCTCTAACCAATGTCAGCTCATGATGAAATCCTGTAACCAATCAAATCCCTACAAACCAACACTTGAAACCTTGTCTTAATTTTTTCTTAAAAACGCTGAGATTATTTTAAGTAATTTGTATAGTGATTCAACCTGACTCGATGCTCAAATTATTCCAGGAAATTTGTAACATCTACGGTCTGGATACTTATAACAATAATAAAAATATTAAGTGTAAGTGTAGAACTTGGGCACTATGGTGGTAGAATGTAATTCCATTTAAGATAAGTTTGTTTTAAATATCACACAGTGATGATGATGATGCAGTGTATTAACACAACTGGATGACAAGGTTTTGAGCATAAGTTATTGCTACTCATAATCATATCAATTTTAGTCACACGGCTTCTCTCTTTCTCTCTCTCTCTCCATCTTCCCAATGGTGTTTGTTGCCACTTTCCATATCTCCCGTATAGGCGACGGAAATAACTATAGAATTCAAAGCCTCTGTAGTACTGCCGTATAAAGAAGGGACATCAGAGTCCTTACGCAGGATTGATTCTCAATGAGGCCAGAATTAGTCAGGGTGGCATTTAAACCAACCAACCAACCAACTCCCTCACAGATAAACCTTGTCAGCTTAAAGACCCAACAGACCCAATTAAGAAAATTAATATAATAAAATACTAGAGACATGATAAGCTTAGTGTAAATTACAAAGGTTGATGACACATAATAAGGATGCTAATGGAGTGAAGTGAGAAGGAATAAGAAAGGCATAATATGACATGAAAATATGGATGATTAAGTCTCTGCTGACCTTGAATATAATATAATTTACCAAATACCATGTAATGCTGACTGTGAAGTCAATAATATAGGTCAAAGTGTAGATCGGGGTCAACTAGATTATTGGAACATTAAAAATTTCACTAGACCTAGAATGATTGTTGACCCAGATAAGTTAAATAACCTAGAACAAAGCTCAGCCATTGCATTGCACTGCACTGCATTCACTTGCATGTAATCACACACCATAGGGTGGGTGGGACAGAGTGGGAGTAATAGAAAGTAATATAGTTAGGTGGAGACGGGGAGAGGTTAATCAGTGAAGCTTTGTTAATCGATTCAACACCGAAACGCCCATGATACCGGAAATATGGAAAGTAGTAACAAACAACAAAGGGAAGATGGAGAGAGAGAGAGAAAGACAGAAGCTGTGTGACTAAAACTGAAATGATTATGAGTGGCAATAATTAATGTGTGTTCAAATCTGAACATATCTCTCACTTTTTTTCACACGTATAAACTCAGTAGTAGACAGAATCCAACTCACTTTGCAGTTAGAAACACAAACAGGGTGAGTTGGCCATGTAAGACCGTAGAATAAAACGCAAACAAGATGGTGGGTTAGATACTAGCATTTATAGGAAACCGACAAACTCCAATTATTCCTTAGACTTGAATTCATCCCATCCAGAATCGGTAAAGATGGGTTAAGTTAAATGTATGTATAATCGGGCCAATGACCTAACCACTAGACCAGAAGATTTGAATAATGAAATCAAACGAATAAAGGAGATGTTCGCAGGGAACAAACACCCACCAGAAATGATTCGAAAATGTTTGAAGAACCATAGAAAAGCCAAGATTAGCAATAAAAATGACGAGAATAACACAGAATTCAAAGTCTCTGTAGTACTACTGCCGTATAAAGAAGGAACGTTAGATACCTTACATAAGATTCTCAAGGAGGCTGGAATTATTTAGGGTGGCATTTAAACCAACCAACCAATTCTCTCAGAGATAAACTTCGTCAACTTAAGGACCCAACAGGTCCAATTAAGAAAAATAATATAAATAAAATACCAGAAACATAAAACGCCTAGTGTACATTACAAAGGTTGACACACAATAAGGATACTAAAGGAGTGAAGTAAATTGGATGAAAAGGAATAAGAAAGGCATAATATGACCTGAAAATGTAGATGATTAAGTAAGTCTCTGCTCTGACCTTCATTATAATATAATTTGCCAAATAGTATGTGGTGCTGACTGTGAGGTCAATTGTATATATCAAACTAGTAGATCGGGGTCAATTAGGTTACCCCAACAGCAATTTAGCTACAGCTAGAATGATTTCTGACCCAGCTACGTTAAATTACCTAGGACAAAGCTCAGCCATTGCATTGCACCGTATTCACAAAATACGGTGGATGGGACAGCGTGAGA